TCGCGGCCCCGCCCGCTCTGCCCCTCACGCCCGCCCAGCGGGGCCGGGCCCGGTCTCACCTCTCGGGACCGCAGCTTCACGCGCGCGGATGCGGGGCGGGGCGGGAGGCTGCAGCGACTCCCAGCGCGGGGCCACGGCGAGCAGGAATCGTTGTGAGGCTGCAGCAGCCTCTCCACAGCGTCAGCCCCTAGCAACAGCGCGGCCGGGAGAGAGGGAGGGATCGTAAATTGTTTTGCCGTAAGTGAAGGAAGCGGCGCGACGGCCGCCACCCAACTGCGCCTGCGCGACGAAAAGCCGCGCCCCTTTTCGGCCGGGCAAGGAAAACGTCAGGGGCTGCTGGCCCCCGAGCATCATCAGATACGTCAGTGGCTATAGCCCCGCCCATTGAGGTCTGCTGGCTTGGTCTTGTTGCAGCCGCGGCCCTAAATTGTTTTGCCGTAAGTGAAGGAAGCGGCGCGACGGCCGCCACCCAACTGCGCCTGCGCGACGAAAAGCCGCGCCCCTTTTCGGCCGGGCAAGGAAAACGTCAGGGGCTGCTGGCCCCCGAGCATCATCAGATACGTCAGTGGCTATAGCCCCGCCCATTGAGGTCTGCTGGCTTGGTCTTGTTGCAGCCGCGGCCCGTCTAGCATGGGGTCGGGCAGCGCATGGTTCTGCAGGGGCGTGGCGCGTGATTCTGCGCCGCTGCTCTGGAGTCAAAGAGGCGCAGTATAGCAATTGTGTCAATGATTTCCCTAGGAATTAAATTTACGGGTGCGGGAGGAAAGGGGGGGTGTCAGACCCGGTGAAGGGTGGGGCTGTGTGATAAATGCAAAGTAGTGCCCACTGGAAAATACAATTTCAACTACACCTGGAAATTGTTGGGTCTAACCGTTGTTATTACTCAATAAGATGTTGGTGTCATTGTAGATCAGTGGTCACCAGACTCTGTCAGGTGATCTTGACTGGTTTGGCCAAGAGGCTATCAAATGCCAGCACTTCAGCTGCACTCCCTCCACTGCTACTCATCTCCTGCCTTTTGTCTTGCAGCTGCCCCTCCCCCCCCGGAGTCTCCTGCTTGAGGAGGGTGCTGATATCAAGATGCCCCCTCCCATTCTATATCCTTTCTTCACAAAGAGAGATACAACAGGACTTGGGATGGAGTTTGCTGGCTGCTTTTGGGAGTGGTGCAGGGTCAGGGCAGGTGTGACTCTGCCTTAGCCACACTGCACCACCACCCAGGAGCCACCTGTGGTATGCAGTGCCCAGCTGGAGCCCACATCCTGAAAGCCTACCCCCGTCATGACCCCCCCATGGACCCCAAGTCCTTGCCCTAGCCCCAACCACCCCTGTATCCCAACTGCCTGCCCCAAGAGCAGCTCAGAACCCCTCTCACTCTCCAGTCCCGTTAATCCAAGACCAGAGCCTGCCCCCTAACCCTCTGCCCCAGCCTCATCAAAGTGAGTGAGGATGGGCAAGAGAGGGAGGTTGGAGGTAGCAGGGGCGGGGCCTTGGAGAAGGGACAAGGGTATTTATATATGAGGTAGATCTTGGATTGCACTTAAATTCAAAAAGTGATCTCATGCATAAAAAGGATGGAGACCACTGTTGTAGATAGTTCTCTGAAAATATCCACTCAATGTGCAGCAGCAGTCAAAGCTAATGGGATGTTAAGTACCATTAAGAAAGGGATAGAACAGAAAATATCAAAAAGCTGCTATATAAATCCTTAGTATGCACACTTCTTGAATATTGTGTGCAGCCTGGTAAAAGATATAGATAAGGGCTACTAAAATGATTGGGTGTTCAAAACATTAAAATGACTGGGACTTTTCAGCTGGGAAAAAAGGACAACTAAGGGTATATAACAGAGGTCTATAAAACATTGACTGGTATGAAGAAGAAAGTGAATAAAAAAGTGTTATTTAATCCTTAACATAAGACAAGAATTAGGGGGTCATATAATTATATTAATAAGCCTCAGGTTTAAAAAAAAACAAAAGGAAGTCTTTCTTCAGACAATATACAATCAACCTGTGGAACTCTTTGCCAGGGGATGCTGTGAAGGCGAAAACTATAACAGGGTTAAAAAAGGACTATTAGCCAGGGATGCAACACCATGCTCTGAGTATCTCCAGCATCTGTCCGAAGCTGGGACCGGATGAATGACTTGAGCATTGCTGCTCTGTTCATTCCCTTTTCCCTCTTGGACACCTGGTCTAGGCCACTGTTACAAGACAATATACTAGTCTAGATGGACTATTGGTCTGACCCAGTATAGTCATTCTTATGTAAAAATAATTATAATAATATACGTGTTTAGTACAGAAACTTCACGAGATAATGACCTCTCAAGATAGCAACACTGTGAGATAATAGCCATGGCAAATAATGCATTTTAAAATTCTTGGCCTACTAGGAAGTATTTATTTTTATAAATTCTTCCAGTCACAAATCTAGCATTATGGAGCAAACTCACTGAAACACAGTCCAATAAAGAAACGATCCTTTAACTTCTCCCCCCCACCCCCCACTATACCTCCACATTGTTGTCCTCGGTCAGTGGAGACTCAGCTTTCAGAGCTGCTTTCATGTGAATTCACCTCCCAGAAAGAGGTTACAGCATGACAATCCCACATATTGTAAGGGTATGGTTTCGTATTAGTGACTTTCATGCAACTCCAGGTCTAGGTCAGACACTATCTCAATGTGGGCAGGTAAAATGATGTCTTGTCTATCTTTTAGCAGCACAAACTCATCCCAGGGATCAGGGTTCTAACAGCTGGTTTTTCCCCCTCCCTCGGTTTGCTATATTATCATTAATAAAAGGCATTGCAATCATGGCAAGTATCACCCTCAAAAACACCAGCAGAGAACCATATAAGGCTAAAGCAGAAAGAAATCTGTAATAGTCAAGGCACAAAGAACTCCATGTTACTAATTCAAATTTGATGGTGATACTGCCCTTTAGGTACAAACACTTGATACTGGAGTAAGCACTTCTCTTGCTGTTATTTCAATCTATTTAATTGAATATTATTTTGCCAGTTTTAAAATATGTGGTCTGTATTCTTTTGTGAAATAATTGGTGGAATTGGTTAATTAGCAAAAAAACAGATGATATTTTCCCTCCCCAATCTTGCTATGAATTCTGCATAAATCCCACTGAAGCTATGATTGTGGTATTAGAGCCAAAATTAGTTTGCCAGAGTTATTTTTAAGCGACTTCCCCCCTCTCTTCTTAGAGTTACAGTACTTGGAAAAAATATCAGCTGCCTGGTAGCCAGCAACCCACCCAGTTCCCCAGTTGAGGGGATTTTTAGTAGGGTTCTTTCTGGATTTATTTTCTGGGTGTCCAGCTTGAAACACTGGGGTCAGATGTGCGAACTATCACCAGAGCAACTGACATTCAAGGCAGTTGTGCTTTGAACATATGAAGTATTCAAGTCTCAGTATTCTGAAAAAAAAAAGGCAAGCACTAAGCATCTAGTCAGGTTCAGATGCGAGATTATGAGTGTTTGAACAACAGCCTTCTCAAGCAGCAAAGATTGAACAGTCCAGATCTTAGAAATATTATGTTGATTAAAGTGGCACGATTTTGAAATGATCAGGTTATATCAAACCTCATAAATTCATATTTTCAAGATAAGGCTATGATGTGCATAGGCTGAATCCCATTGAAGTCAACAGTCTACATGCAGGTGCAAGATACAGTTGCATGGATCCAGCTGCAGCATGTAGGCCTAAGCCACTAGCCAGATATATTTTTGATGTCACTACAAATTTTTTTATAACTACTTTTCTTCTCTTTTACTTATTTAATTAAGACAAGAGAGCCAACACACTGTTGTAACAAGTAGGGATGTAAGCGACTAGTCAACTAGTTGCTTCCTTCCCCCCCCCTCCTCCCCCCCGCAGCCTTTATTAGAGACAGCAAGGGGGGCAGCAGGAGCCAGTGCTGGAGGGAGCCGGCTTAAAAGTATAGCCCTACTTATAGTATAGCAAAGAACCCAGTTGTCCCCCTCTAAAAACATGAAGCAGGGTGTGGGTGGAGGAAATTGACCAAATTTAAAATCTCTTAATAGTTTCTGATATAATACATTTTTTAAATGACTATGATTTTTGTCACTCCAGAGCAAGGAACATAAAAAAAAATCTGAAAATAATCCTGGTTAATCTCCGACACACACTCCTTAAGGGGTGATATCATACGTTTTATTTTTAACGTTGACAGGGAGGAATTGTGTAATATCTTCCAAAAGAAGTGTAAGATGCTCCAGGATTTCAGTCAAATAAAATTTGATTAGACAAGCACTTGAGAATATAGTCTAGAGAGCAATCCTACAATGGCAGGAGGATAGACCAGATAATCTACAAGATATCATACATCTCTAATTATGTGATTTTCAGAAAAAAGTAGCAGTTCTGTGCAGCCTGCTAATTGAAATAATATAAACATGATTTTAATGTAATGAGATATGATTTGTCTGTATTATATGTTGATTGCTTTTATGGGTCACAAAGAGTTCAATTAGCAAGATTCCAACTGCTCCTAATTTTAAATACGTTATTTATCATGTTTCCACTTGGTTAATTTCAAATTATCTCAGTCTATTACATTTCAGTAGCTTTGAAACATCCCTGCCTTTGCCCCTCCCCCCCAAAAAAACCCTCTCAGGCTACATCTACACTTCATGCTTCTTGCGCAAGAAGCCTTTTGCACAAGAGTTTTTGCACAAAACCTTTTTGCGCAAGAGCACGTCCACACCTCAACGCACATCGCAAAAGTACATCGAAAGAGAGCGTTCACACTGAATGGATGCTCTTGCACAAGAAAGCTCTGATGGCCATTCATAGTTGGCTTGGGCCTTTGGTTCACAGAATGGATATCAGAGCACCTGTGCTTTTTCCCTCTGGAGCATCCACACTTGCCTTCTTGCACAATAGCTGTAGCGTTAAAAGCAGTTATGCCTCAGAAAAAGAGGTTTACCTACAGTGGAAAAAGCCCTTTGTTCTGCCATTTAACTGCCCATTTAATAGCGCAAGAGTTCATTTGAAGTGTGGACGCTCTGCAGGTTTTTGCACAAAAACAACTGTTTTTGCGCAAAAACTTTGTAGTGTAGACTTAGCCTCAGCCTGTAAGGAACTTAAGACCTGAACCTGAGTGCCTTTGTTACTGAACCTGAGTGCCTTTGTTACTGCAAAGGCTATTCTGTTTAGTAAGTCTTTGGAGAACTGGACTCTGAAGGCCTGCTCTTGGTCACATTGCATTGTTTTTTACATCATTTGAAGTTGGATTGGGCCTTTGGTGCACTTAAAGATGAGCACACTACTATAAAGCTGTATTGCTGTTATTTTATGAATTCATTATAGCACTTTAACATTAAGATGAGGTTGCATAAAATGTAATTCAGTAGAAACTGACCTCTCCTTATTTTATCATCCTGCTAACCAATACATTTTCTAGTGTTCTTCATTTCAAGTTTTCCCCCATACTGTATCCCGATTTGTCCCAAAGTACGTTGAGAGGAATGTGTTAGGTCACAGGTAGAATGTCCACCTGTCCTTCATTTTGTACTGAATATTCCCTATTATTACATATATCTATAATTATTGGCTCATATACACCAATAATCATGCAAAAGGACTGTACACTGTAATACAATGTGTTATTTGTATATCGGTATGTGTCACACAGGGCCAGCTCGAGCCATTCCTGCATCCCGGGCAGCAGGCACACAGCGCCCAATTGCAGCTGTAAGGGGTGCCGCATGGCTCCCGGCCCCAGGCGCGCGGTGCCTGATGGCAGCTGTAAGGGGCGCCGCGTGGCACCCGGTCCCGGGCATGCAGCACCTGATAGGTTGGCACCCCGGGCAGCTGCCCAGCTAGCCCCTCCCCCCCGTTAATCCAGCCCTGGTGTCACAAATAAAATACGGGGTAGGTGCCCTTCAAAACAAACCTTCTCCCATAATTTCCAAGTTGTCCTTTATTTGCGACATAAAGGGTCTGTATATGGGCGTGAGAAAAATGATCACAGCCAGGGACCTGATCTTCTATCTCAGGAACATCGGCCGCACGTATTCCCTGTTGCCAAACCCCTTTTGTACTGCCCCCTCGCCCCCATCATCCAATGCAGGCACCAGACCAGATGACCCATTTTCTGCAGACTCCCGGTCTCATCAGTGCGAAATGACAGGCTCCGCAGCGACAGCTGGCTAGGGGCGCGGCTCCTGACGTGCGCGTGCGCACTACAAATCCGAGCGGGCCCCAGGGCAGGATGTCCCTCCTTTCCCAGCAACAACGGTCCGGCTTGGCGCTGCAACAGCTCTGGGTATACAGTGCGGTCAGAGAAGACTACATGTCCCAACATGCAATGCGCCCTCCCAGCGGATTCCCTGAGCGTTTTCGCCAAAAGGCCAAGCCGGACTACAATACCCGGCATGCCATGCGGCCAGAGACTTGCTGCATTTTGGGAGATGGAGTCTCCGCACCCAGCCGGTGCGCTAACCACACCTCCCATTGTCGCCTTGGCTGGCTGCCTCTCGCG